TTTCCCCCCCTGGAGAAGCCAACTACAGTTTAAACAAACAAAAATTTCAGGGGCAGGGGGTTAATAGCTCCATGGTAGAGCACGTGCTTAGCACGCATGAGGTCCTGGGTTCAGTCCCTGGTACCTCCATTTAAAAAAAAAATTCGTCTTTCAGATGTGAACTAAGTTTGTGAGACACGGATGTGATTTAAGAGTGTTATTCCTACAGCCCGTGAAGGCCACGTCAGAGCGCCCGTGGGGTCTCCTATAGGAACTACAGGAATTGGAGGTGGTCAGCAGCTTGCTTTCCATAGAGGGACTACCATTAGCCTTTTATTTTGCTAATTTACTACCAAGAAAGCCCCTGAAAGTAGCTTGCAGTGAAAGAACTTTTGCTGGCAAGGTTTGCCTCTTCACAGCCCAGAAAGAATTTTGAGGCTGTGATTTGGCTGTTCATTCATAGGACATAGAGGTTTCTGGGCCAAAGAATAAATGTGTGTCCAGTCACACCTACCTGTCCTCCTCTGTGCCCACTGCAGGGTGGCCAGGGGAGCACGGGCCGGCGTCGGGTAGGACCTGTGTGAGTCAGGAGATGGGGATGGTCAGGGCTGGTGTGTGGGTCGAGGGAGTGCAAATACAGTGGCTGGACACTGGGCAGCAGGCCCCTTGGTAACTGGCCACGCTGCTTCTGCTGTATTTAGCAAGCTGACCTGAGTGGAGCTGATGCCAGGATGCACTCTCCGTCTGACTGAGTCTATCCCTGACTTTCCCAGACTCCCCTGGCCCAGCACCTGCTCAGCCTTCAACGCTGGGTCTGGGAGAAAACCAGCCCCTGCACTTGCTTCTCAGTTTACCCAGGAAGTAAGGCGAGGTGTCTGCGGTGCTGATAGCACCCCTTTCTGTCCGGCCCCTGCCTCCCATCTCCATCCTCCGGGCCCAAGCTTTCTCTCCTGACCTCGTGGAACCAACGTAATGCCCTGGTGACAGGGAGCCAAAAACAACTGATGAAGCAGGGGCGGTTCCGCGTCCCCCAGCCCTGCCCAGGAGGGTGACGACTTCGTTAGTTCCCCTGTAGGCTTGGCTCTTAGAACTCATATTTTCGGTTTTCCCAAAGAGTTCCCCCGTCTTGGGTCCTGCTATCTGTCTGTGGCTTCAGGTCCTCCCTTCTGACTTTATGTCTGGGTGATCTATTCATTGCCGACAGCAGGGTGTTGCATCCCCTCCTGTTACTGTCTCGTCTGTCTCTGCCTTCAGATCTGTTTGTATTTACTTGTTGTATTTAGGTACTCCAGTGTTGGGTGCACGTAAATTTACAGTTGTCATACCTTCTTGCTATGGCACGTCATCATTCTGCAGTGACCTTCTTTGTCTCTTGTTACTGTTTCTGGCATAAAGTGTATTTTGTCTGTTGTACGTGCAGCTGCGCCACTTTCTTTTGGTTTCCCTTTGCATGGAGTATCCCTGCAATTTCCACCCCTTCCCTTTGAGCTTGTATGTGTCTTTAACGCTGACATGAGTCTCTTACAGGCAGCATATCGTGGGGTCTTGCTTTTCTAATCTGCCCAGCCATCCTGTGCCTTTTTACTGTGAATTCAGTCCGTTTACCTTTAGAGTCGCTGTTGATCTGGGGAGGCTTCCTGATGTCATCTTACTAGTTGTTCTTTGGTGGTTGTGTATTTCCACTGTCTCCCCCTCTGTTTCTCGCTACCTGTGTACCGTGGAGGGGTTCTCTGTATCCCCTGTACCTTCTGTGCGTCTGCGCTCGGGTTTTGCTCTGAGGTTACCCTGTTGCTTACACAGGGCATCTCATAGATAAAACAGTCCATTTTAAGCTGACAGAAACTGAGATCGTCCCCAAAGCCTTACCCTTCACTCCCGCCTGTTTTATTTTTGATGCCTTTTTTTTCCTTCTTTTTAATTGTATGTTAACACATTAGAGTAGCTGCATTTTTAATACTCTTCCCCTTCATAATCTAGTTAAGTGATTAACATACCTTCTATTCCGCATTCCCCTTTCTGAGTCTGACCAGCCTTCTTCCCGTCTCCCGCAGACCAGCCGCAGCCATGATGAGCACCAAGGCCTTCACCCTGGTCCCCGCTGTGGAGCGGGAGCTGCTGCAGGGCGACAAGGAGTGGGTCTCGCTGGAGTGCGTGGAGTGCTGTGGCAGGAACCTGTACCTGGGCACCAGCGACTGCTTCGTGCACCACTTCCTGCTGGAGGAGAAGGTCTTGCCCGCCGGCACGGCCACCTTCACGGCCACCAAGCAGCTGCACAGACACCTGGGTTTCAAGAAGCCAGTGAACGAGCTGCGGGCGGCGTCGGCGCTGAGCCGGCTGCTGGTGCTGTGCGACAGCTCCATCACCCTGGTCCACATGCTGAGCCTGGAGCCCGTGCCCTCGGGCGCCCGCATCAAGGGCGCCACAGCCTTCGCCTTGAACGAGAACCCGGTGAGCGGGGACCCATTCTGCGTGGAAGTCTGCATCATCTCCGTCAAGCGCAGGACCATCCAGGTGTTCCTGGTGTATGAGGACCGCGTGCAGATCGTCCGGGAGGTGTCCACGCCAGAGCAGCCCCTGGCCGTGGCAGTGGATGGCCACTTCCTGTGCCTGGCACTCACCACCCAGTACATCATCCTCAACTACAGCACGGGCGCCGCCCAGGACCTGTTCCCCTACTGCGGGGAGGAGCGGCGGCCCATCGTCAAGAGGATAGGGAGACAGGAGTTCCTGCTGGCGGGCCCTGGGGGCCTGGGTGAGCAGGACACCGCGCTGCGAGTGCGAGCAGAGTTGGGGCGGCGGTGGGGGGCGGGTGCTGGCGAAAACTGGGTTCCCGTGGGGGCGTCGGCCAGCATTGAGGCGGGATGCGGGCGTGTTTCCTTCATCTTCCTTAGATGGTTTTGAGTGTCGTTTCATGAATCAAAGATAGACCAGCGTAGAATCACTTTCATGTTGAGCTAAAGTGGGGCCAGGAGATGGGTCCGGGGAAGAATTCCTCCGAAGGGGTAACGACAAAAAACAAGAATCTGTAAGGCTGCTGGGTCAGATTCTGCCCGGTGGGCGGCTTTCACTCTTCATTCTAAGAAGGATCTGAGGCAGCTCACATAGACGTACTTTTCAAACGTGGAGGCGCCAGTGTCGTGGCCCCGATTTTCTCTTACTGGCTGTGATTTCATCCCACGAGTAGTGCCCTGCGGCCAGCTCCTCGGAGGGGCTTCGGCCGTCTGGTGTGGCCTTCCTGAGGCTCCGCACCGGCTCAGAGCGCTCGGAGCCGCTCACTTCCTCGGTGGCCTGTGGTCTGGGCGGTGCGCAGTGTGTGTGTCTGTGACGTTCGGGGGCTGATGAGAGTGAGCCCCCCCAACACCCGCAGTCTTCAGCCGGGAGAGTGTGTGTGTGGGCGTCTCGTTTCACAGTGATGGCACAAACGTATTTCTGAGAACGACAAAAACTGATGTCATAAACTGGGTCGTGTACGCTTCTTTTTAAAACAAATTTTTTTAATTTACTTTTTTTTTTTGTTTTTTGGGGGGGGGAATTGGATTTAATTATTATTTTTTATTTAATGGCGGTACTGGGGATCCAACCCTGTGCCTGCTGACCATGCGCTCTACCACTGAACTGCACCCTCCCCGCCTAGTATGTACTTGATTTTTATTTTTTAAATAGACTTTAGTTTCTAGAGCGGTTTTAGGTTCACAGCAGAACTGAGCAGAAAGTACAGAGTTCCCGTGTCTCCCCCTCCCCAACACATGAGCACCCTTTGCGAGCAGCACGCTTGTTATGGCTGTTGAATCCACACTGAGATGTTATGCTCTCCCCAGGTCCGCAGTTTACATCCGGAGTCACTCTTGCAGTGCCCATTCTGTGTGTCCGTTACTGCGGTATCGTTCAGGGGGTTTTCACTGCCCTGAAGCCCTCTGTTCTCCACCTGCTCACCGAGACCCCAGCCCAATCCCCGGCGACCACTGATGTGTCCGGAGCACACGTAGTGGGAATCACAAGGCGAGGCCTTTTCACGCTGGCTTCTTTCACTTAGTCACATGCATTTAAGGTTCCTCCATGTCTTTTCGTGGCTTGATAGCTCAGATTTTTACTTTTTGGGGAAAAAAAATTTATTCTACATACCTTTTTCTTTAAAAAAAATTCCAGTTTTCATGAACATTTTTTATAATGGGAAACACATATACAATTTTTAGCCTTGTGTCTAATCAGAAGGAGAGACAGGTCGACATTCTGGGGGAGGTGGTTCTCTTCAAAGAACAGTCACACAGGGTCCTCACACACGTAGCATGTTATTACCTTGTCTCTCCCACCTTGAAATGCAATGAAGGGGGGAAGTGTTCTGCACCCAGACACATCTACAAAAAGAAACAAAAAGCAGCCATGGCTGTGTAAGGCCCGCCTGACTCTCCTGTTCCTGCAGGCATGTTCGCCACGGTGGCCGGCATATCTCAGCGCGCCCCGGTGCACTGGTCGGAGAACGTGATCGGGGCGGCCGTCTGCTTCCCGTACGTCATTGCCCTGGATGACGAGTTCATCACGGTGCACAGCATGTTGGACCAGCAGCAGAAGCAGACCCTGCCCTTTAAGGAAGGGCACATCCTACAGGATTTCGAAGGTACCCGTTTACATGGAATGTTAACCACTCTTAGCTGTCCATCTCTTGCGATGGTGTTTCTTTTCTTTTTTTAAAAATCTTTTTCCTCTTTGTTTTTATTTTTTTGAGAGGGAGGTAATTAGGTTTATTTACTTAATGGAGGGACTGGAGATTGAACCCAGGACCTCGTGCATGCTAAGCATGCAGTCTATCCCTGAGCTACATTCTCTCCTCTTTTAAAAGCTTTATATGGGGGAAATCCTCCATCTTACTGATAATTTTCCATGACTGAGCTCTCCAGCCTCACTGGACTCTACTGTGTATGTACTCAGCTGGTTTTCCATTTATCAGCACTTTTGGGTAAAAAGAGGCAGAACATTTTTATATCTTATACTTTGGAAATGTGTGGAGAGTTCACCCTTCCCAGACAGTGGACTTCCTGGGAAGGAGAAGAGGGGAGCGTCAATGACAGCTGCGAGGGCTCTTGGGAGAGTGGTGCTGAAACTGGTCTGCACACCAGCCCGTGCTCCCATTTGGGGTTCGCCGCGTGTTTTCTTCCCGGCTCTGTGTTTTCTCCCCTTTCCAACGGTGTTAACATTTCTCCCCAGGAAGAGTGATTGTCGCCACAAGTAAAGGCGTTTACATCTTGGTTCCATTACCTCTGGAAAAGCAGATTCAGGACCTTCTAGCCAGCCGCCGAGTGGAAGAGGCTCTGGTCCTGGCGAAAGGCGCCCGGAGGAACATTCCAAAGGAGAAATTTCAGGTGTGTAATCAGCCTGGCCTCAGGAAACGTGCCTCCCCGCCGCCAGTTAGAAAACGCCAGGGTCCTAGTGCGCCCGCCCCTGAAGACTGCTTCGTGCTGGGTGTTCAGTTTCTCTGCCCGTCCACATGGGATGGGGAGGGAGGCAGGGGCAGCCCGTCGGTGGCTGGAGGAGTTCCCGCTGCAGGCAGAGGTGAAGTCGGGTTTGGAGCCTCTGACATAATCCCGGGCTTAATTCTCCAAGCCGTATCTCTAATCAATGTTCCTCTTCCATAGGAGAATTAGGGCTGCTTGTTACCAACCACAGGAGGAACCTCAGGTTCATTCATCTTCCAGTTAGGAATTTAGATTTGCTGGGATGCAGGTGAAATTTTAAAGTTTAGAATTGCATTATCTACAGGAAAAGCTTCATGAACTATACCATCTCATATTGCTGGAATTAACTTCCCAGGGAGAAAACTTCTTATGCATTTGAGAAGCACTAACCTGAATGGAGTTGGTATGAGAAATATAACTGATAGAACAACCTCAAAGTATCCTCATGTTTCCCTAAAAATCGCCCCTTGATCAGTCACGCTTTGTATCTGAGAATAGAAAACATAGTGTTGGTGTGTGCACACTTCAGATGAACATCTGAATTGATCATTAAAAGTTCTCATGAATTCAAAGAAGGAAGGAAGGAAGAAAGGGAGGAAGGAAGGAAGGAAGGAAGGAAGGAAGGAAAAGGAAAACAAAGCCCTCATGAGCTCATAGAGATTCCCTCATTGTTACCCGTCGGCCAGATTTTCATGACGTGTGACGGTTGCAGATGAAACCGTGCTTTCTGGCCTCCGTGGGGGTAGATGCGGAAGCTGAGAGCAGTCGGGACATGTAATTTATGGTCACAGGGTAGAAGCTGGTATCCCGTCTATATTTAAATATTGATAAATTTTGCATCTTTGTTCCTCATTTTTCAAAGTGAGATGATCTGTGAGCGCTCAGCAGAGGGCAGCATGAGCAAAAAGAAGAAACCAGTGGGTTGAGAACCCCGTGTCTTCCGAGAGCCCCTCCTCCTGCGTTGCTGTCCCTGCAGGGCGGGTGGGGGCCGAGCTGAGAAGGCTCAGGCCCATGAGAGGGGTCCGAGGGTCCCTGCTGTGCCTGGCGGGGCTGCTCCACCCCCCTCGCCCTCCTGTGAGTGGGCCCGGGAGCTGGGTGTGTGGACCCTCCTTGCACACCCGCAGGCTTCCCTCAGGTGTCACATTTTCTTAAAGAAGCTGTCTGAGTTCTTTGCTTTTTTCCCCCCATTTTGCCAAGAGCAGACACGCAGTGGACATCAGATGATGTCAGTGGTTGACATGACCTCCTCCCTGATATCTCAGTGGGGTTTTTCCTTCTAACACACTCCCTGCCTTCCTTTGTTCCAAACTCCCACATCGGCCCTGGAGACACACCCCCAGTGTGGCCCTCGTTCTGGGTTCAAGGTCACGGGTGGCTGCTGGGGACCCTTCTCCTGTTTTGCCTGAACTGCTTTGATAGCCTCCCTTCGGTGTGTCTGTCATCCACCCTCCACACTGCCACAGAGTGATCTTTCCAAGGTGTCCCCTGACCATTGGCTGGAAACCCTTAGTGGGTGCCTGGGTGCCCGCAGTCAAGTCTGCACCTACAGCCTTTGTGGTCTGGCCCTGCCCGCTTCCCCGGCCTCTCCCGCTGCCTCCAGCGCCCTGTGACCTGGGCCTGAGCTGCCGGCTGCCTCAGAGGGCGGAGGACCAAGGAAGCCCACAGCTCTGTGGCACCGCACTCTGCCAGGGTCTTAAGACATTTTTAATCCTCAAAACAAGTCAAAAATAACCACGGCCGCAGCCCAAAGACAGGAAGACGCGCAGCGGGGCTGGTTTGCCTCTGGGCATTCTCTGGGTAGATCCGGGCCAGGCCTCTGATGTGGTGCCCGCCTCCCCAGCCCCGACCTTATCCTCACCCTGCCTCCGTTCACCCCCTCCCCGCCCTCCCTGTCTTGCCTACTGTTATTTACTTGCTTTCCCATCACTGGAGGGGACTTCCGTCAAACACGGCTGCTCCTCCTTGCTCGGACATGCCCTCTGCTGAGCCCTTCCCGCCCCTCCAGGCAGCCCCGGGCCCTCTGAGCTTCCTCGGTGTGTGTGAGCCCGTGACTCGCTCCGTCTACCCCTCTGCTCCGGCGTTCCCGGCCCGGTTCCTGATGGTTGCCTCCCGTTTTCCCCCCGGCATCCTGCTCCTGCCTGGGGCTGGACCACGGAGGAGTGATGGATATGCAGTCAGAGCTTTGAACTGGTCTTCAGACGGAGCCGGGCCGTGTGAACCGTGGAACAGGAAGGTTCTGTTTAAGATAGATCTGTAAGAGAGAAAGAAGGCAGTATTGACAAAAGAGGTTCGGAGATGACTTCTCATGCATATGTGTGAACACGTATGTGATTTTAAGGGTGAGATGTGACTCTTACAACCGTCAGGTGCGTGGCTTGGTTTACTTCAGGACGCTTGTGACGAGATGCTAGACCCCAGGCTCAGAAAGACCGGAAAAGCGGAGGGAACGAGACCAGACGTTCGGGAGACGGGCTTTCCACGGTTCACCTTTCTCTCCATTAGAGCAAGCGTTGGCTTTGCTTCACTGAGTTCTGAACTCGGGAGGGATTTGCCAGGAGGCCTCACTGTGGGGCTCGGATTAAAGGAGAGCACCTGCCCGCGTGCACCTGCCACGTCTACGTGTAGCGCCCCCAGACCAGAGCACAGAAGGTGACCCCCAAGTCGTGGGAATCGGGCGTGTTAGCAGAAGGAGTTTCTGTTCCCCTTTCAGAAGGGGCATGTAGGTGGCATCTGAGTCCTCCAGCCGTGAGGGAGAGTTGTCACCCAGCGAGTCTCTCCCTGCAAGCCTGGGTGTGGATGAGAGTTCTCCTCCCCACCGCAGGGGTCCCTTCCATCCTTCATGCTGCGAGGTTGGCCTCTTGTCTCTCCTTTCAGATGCGGGGCTGGCCTCCCTCCTGCCCGAACTTCACCCTGCTCCGGTCTGCTCATTGCTCACTTCATCGATAGGCCAGTTTTTAGGGGAGGAAAGTGATGAGCAAGCCGTGCCTCCCGAGGCCTCACAGGACTTTCTTGGGGGCAGGGAGGCCCTGCTGGGCTTTTGAGAATGAGCCCCTTTGAAACTGAAGGGAGGGAGTGGCGTTCAGGTGCCCCCACACTCTCCAGCCCATTTCTTCCTGGGGGAACAGCATGAGATCTGCCCAGCCCCTGGACGGGCCTGTGGGTGGAAAGAACAAGGCTGTGGACTCAGAAAGATCTGGTTTCGATCCTGGCTCAACCACTTACACATTAGTAACTTTGGGCTAGAAACCTTAGCCTCTCTGAGCAGAGGGTTCCTATCTGTTAAATGGGCGGAGCGAGTGACAGTGGAGGAGGTTTTTGTGAGATGGATCAGGTGTCTGAGAAGGACGGGTGTGAGCCCTTCATGGCACGTTTGGTGGGATCCCCAGTGAGGCCGTGCGGCCCTGGACCTCTGTCTGCAGGGAGGGTTTTTATTACTGATTGTATTTCACTTCTGATGACTGGTCTGTTCAAATGATCTATTTCTTCCTGATTCAGTTTTGGTGGACAGGATGTTTCTAGAAACTTGTCCATTTCTTCCAGGTTGTCCAATTTGTTGTCATAGAGTTGTTCATAGTGTTCTTTTTTTTAAATAAAAAAAAAGCCCCAAATGAACTTATTTATAAAACAGAAACAGACTCACAAACATAGAAAACAAACTTATGGTTACCAGGGGGAAAGGGGGTGGGAAGGGATTAATTGGGGGGTTGAGATTTGCAGATACAAACTACTAATATGAAGTAGGTGAACAAGTTTATACTGCATAGTAGAGGGAACTGTATTCAATATCTTACAATAACCTACAGTGGAAAAGAATGTGAAAAGGAATGTGTGTGTATCATGATAGCTGAAGCACTGTGCTGTGCACCAGAAATTGATGAAACATTGTAAACTGACTAGACTTCAGTTAAAATTTTTTTTAAAATAATAAAAATAGAAACAAAAAACAAAGCAAAAAATTAATAATAAAGGCAGTTCGTTGCTTAAAAGTAAAACCTGACAGGTGGCTCTTCAGGTCAGCAGCACTTGGTAAAGGGCAGGTGCCCTGCAGGGTGTGGGGGTCCGGGGGAGCATGCTGAGCTGGATGGTGGGCGTGCCTGGCCTTCAGGGAACTGGCGGCTTATAAAACAGCAGGCTGGGTTGGGAAGGGGAGGAACTGAAGCCTGAGGGTCTTAAACACAATTGGAGTCTTCCACTGTGAGGCGACGAGGGCCTGGGCGGTGGTGATGGGAACCGGTGAGGACGGAGCAGAGACAGGCGCACAAGGCCCCTCAGACAAAGGTGGACCAGGTCAGGCAGAGACAGGGAGCAGGTGGGTTTAAAGACACCACAGGCATCTTCTGTTAGTGTGTTGCTATTTCTGGACGTTCCCGGAGCAGAGGGCTCTGTGGTCAAGGTCGTGTGGGTAGGACTGGACCAAACAGAGGCAAATGGCCGTCTCAGTGCCGGGCCTGTCGGACTGTCGGATCGGCGCAGGCTGCGCCTCCCAGGCGGGGCGGGAGGGGCGGCGTGGCTCCGGTGTGGGCAGGAAAGCCCGTTTCTTTCCCTGCTTGTTATTAAATGGGGTCGACCTTGTGCTCTGAGGGACACTCAGAAATGCTGCTGTGAAGATTCAGTTCCACGAGAGTGGCAAAGGGTGGGCAGCTTCCAGACGATACGAAACCGTGATGTTGTTAAAATCCACCTGGGCAGCCGGAGATGGAGGTGGCCCAGGAAGCCCCTGGAATTCGAGAGGAGAATACAGATGGGACGTTGGGCGAATGCACACAGAAGCAGGCAGGCTAGTGCACAGGGGACAGCTGTCTCCCAGGAGTGAGGGGTCGATGGGCATGCAGATGTGTGTACTGAACACGCTTTCCTGTAAGCCTTGTTTTTGCCTTACCGTGTAACTTCAGGTTTGTGTGTCATCATTAGCACGCAGCCTGGATGGCGGTGAGACCCTTAGCTGCTCCGCCGTGATGGCTCTAAGGCATGTCCTGTCTTTCCTTGCAGGTGATGTACAGGAGGGTTCTGCAGCAGGCGGGCTTCATACAGTTTGCACAGCTTCAGTTCCTGGAAGCTAAGGAACTCTTCAGGTAATTGGAGGTGTTGGCGGCAAGCCTGGTGTCCCTGTGGTCAGACGTGTGTGGTTCTGTGGCGCCATGGTGGCTCAGCCGCAGGTGCTGTGCTCTGGGGAGAAGTGGTTGTGCCGTGGGCCGGGGAACAGCACCAGCAGCAATGGCTGAGAGGCAGAAAACGTGCAAATGGACAAGATAATTAGTCAGAGCCGAGTATCTGGTGTGGACAGGGGTTTGGCGCTGGGGTTGGAGGGTAGCTTGGGTTCGGTTTAGGAAGCATCTTGGAGGCCATTTAAGAGGTGTGAAATTTATCCCATGGGTCACGTGGAACCTTTGAAGGTTGGGGAGGGCAAGGGTGTAAAGATGAAACGAAAGACCAGTGGCAGGAGTCCGGGAGCACGGAGGAGAGGCGTCAGAGCTTCAAGGGGTGGAAGTGGGAACACTGTGGGAAGTGCAGATCCCCGTCCTGCCCCAGAGGTTCCCGTTCATGAGTCTAGGGGGCCCTGCCTCTGTTCCTTGAGAGGTTCAGTGCCCGGCTGGGCGGAGAGCTGGAGCTCAGAGATGCCACCACATCTGTGATCATGTTGAGAGGACGAGCAGGCTGTGCAGGAGGGGACGGGAGAGGGGCCAGCAGTGACTTGGAGGATGGACGTCCCTGAGGATGGCTTCCTGGGCCTTCCAAGGTTAGGACACCATGCTGGCTGTTTGAGTTGCATCCTCATGGGTTGCCCAGAAACCCTGTCCCACTCGCCCCAGAAGAGACAGCACGGGTGGCTGTGTCTTTTGTAGGGTCACTGACGAGGAAATTGTCAGTTAGGTGCTTGAGTCCCTCCTTGCGGACCTTGAACAAATCTATAGATAGTGTCGTGCCAGGAAGCATGCTGGCCTCGGAAGGACCGGAGCCTGCCTTTGATCAGACTGGGCTGTGCTTTCCCTGGGTTTCCAGGGAATTGATGTGCCCCGAGCACCGGCTATGCGAGGCCTCCGGCTGCCGTGCCCCCATTCCATCTTGGGGCCGGGTGGTCGGCGCCTGGGTCAGTGGTGTTGGCTGTGCGTGCAGCCGCGGACGCGTGTGCAGTGCCCGCTCCCCATGGGCGTGTGCAGGCAGGCATGCCCATCTGGCGGCGTCTTGTGTGTCTGCGTGCTCTCTCTCCATCTGCCGCATGTAGTCCGACACTGTAATTGCAGAAGCGGCCAGCTCGACGTGCGGGAGCTCATCTCCCTCTGCCCCTTCCTGCTGCCTGCCTCCTCGTCCTTCACCCGCTCCCACCCTCCCCTGCACGAGTTCGCAGACCTGAGCCAGCTGACCCAGGGCGACCAGGAGAAGGTGGCCAAGTGCAAGCGCTTCCTCATGAGCTACTTGAATGAGGTCCGCAGCACGGAGGTGGCCAATGGCTGCAGGGAGGACATCGACACGGCCCTGCTCAAACTGTACGCGGAGGCCAACCACGAGAGCCTGCTGGACCTCCTGGTCACCGAGAACTTCTGCCTGCTCCCCGACAGCGCCGCCTGGCTGGAGAAGCACAAAAAGTGAGTGTCCTTCCCCCGATGCCCCCACCCCTCCTCTCCCTCCGAAGCTGATGTGCAGCTGACGGGCTAGCGTGACGCCCGAGTCCCGGGGACCCGTCACGGGACAGCCGTAGCGCAGTGACCGCCAGGCACCTCATTGCCGTCTGCAGACCAGCCGAGGGGTCTTGGGGGCACTGATTCTTGTACCAGTGCCTTCATGATGGGACGTGTTCAGAGGCCTAGAGAGTCACGGGAGCGATCATTACATGTCCTTGTCCCCGTCTGGGTGGGATTCCCTGCGGGAGATACCACGTGCGTGTTGGGAAAGTGAATAGGGCACTTCAGCCACTGGTGATCAGGTCGAGTGGATGGATGGACATCGGATAAACAGACAGAAGGGGAGCCTTCTTGGTCTTGTCGATGAAAGGTTGCAGACTCAGACTCTGCCTTCCTCGCCCGAGTGAGCTGGTCGGCCTCCACCCCCTCGCCCGGGCACGTGGGCTGTCCGTCTGCAGGGATGGCTGGATGAGACCCGGCCGCATCCTCCCAGCCAGTGATCTGATCCTTCTAGGCCTTGGAGGGGGGTCTTTAAAAATGAAGGGACTGGGTGCTCCCTGAACTCCACTGAGCAGTAAGACTCTGTCTGTGGTTTCGTTACACACTTGACAGGGAGGAAGTGCCGGTGAAATCCCGCGGAGACCACGGGGGTTGTGGTCCAGACCCCCCTCAGATGCGTGTCGTCAGGGGCTTGTGTCCGGTCTCCATGTGGGAAGTGGCTCCTTGAGCTGTTCCCCTCAGTTTCTCGAATGCAGTATGGAGTTACTTATTTAGGAACCAGAAGAGATACTAAAAACGCAGTGACTGGGGTGGGCAGGTCAGTGTCACTGTCTGAGGGCTCCAGGAATAGTTCAGTGTCTGGAGAGTTTGCTCTCCGGGGGAGGAAACCTGACGTCGTCCCCCTGGGGCAGCTTGCTCCGGTACCTGCTGGGGAGCAGGGGTCCGGGAGAGGACCCTGGTTGCTGCCCAGGCAATGCCCGTGTGACCCTGATCCTTTCCACTTTTAAGTGAGGAATCGGGGCCAGGGAAGGTCATCTGCTTGCTCAAGGTCATACAGTCCGTAAGTAACGAAGCCTGAATTGAACCTTGGGGCCTAGACCTCAGGGTCCCCCCCAACTCTGTTCTCTGCGATGCTGCAGACAGTGGCCTTTGCTGCCGTCCAGACTCCAGACCCCTTACCCCTTCTTCCCGCAGGGGCTCAGACAGCGTCCCTCCTGGACCGTTCTTTTACTACCTCGTGAGGAGGTAATAATGGTTAACTGGAGAGAGAAGAAAGTGTACTGATATTTGAAGCAAATTGTAAAGCAATTCCAACTGTGATTTTCCATAGTATAATTACAGTTTTATTTTTTCAGCTGATCTCAGATTTGAAATATGCTCCTTGTTGGAAATTGAGAGGGCCTACATTTTAATACCAGAAGTGAATAAACAGAAATGAGGATATTTTGGTGGCTTGAGACTTACTGTTGGGCTGAGTGAATAGAGCACAAGGGGCCGGGGCTGAGGACGGCGCCGTGGGGGTGCCACCCACAGTGCGGAGTGGGGAGCCGGCACCCTTACCTCGTGTTTTCTTTTAGATACTTTGCACTGGGACTGCTCTACCATTACAACCACCAGGACGCCGCAGCAGTTCAGGTTAGTTCCAGAGCATTCGATCATTATTTGCAAATCGCTGCCACTTAACTCAGGGCCGCTCAAAAAGAACTCACAGGTTGATAGAGACCACTCGTCTGAACTACCACCTTTTTTTTACAGAATTTAAAAATAATACTGTTTTACAGAAACAGACTCATAGACATAGAGGACAAACTTACGGTTACCGGGGGTAAAGGGGGTGGGAAGGGGTAAATTGGGAGTTTGAAAATCGCACGTCTTGGGGAGTGGTGGAAATGTTAGCTGTCTTCATTGTGGTGGTGGTTTCATGAGTGTAGACTTGGGGTCAAAGATTAAGTTTTATTTCTTTTTTTTTTTTTTTTAATAGAGGGACTGGGGATTGAACCCAGGACCCGTGCATGCTAAGCATGGGCTCTACCACTGAGCCATACCCTGCCCCCCACATTTTTATTTCTTAAAACACCATGTTCTAAGAATGATATAAGGGTATTGGTAATATTAGCCGAGCTGTAGAAAGAGATGTTTACAGAATTGAAATCATATGGAATAAATCTCTGAAAGGGGCAGAATTTTTTTTAAAAAATGACACATTTCAGTGGTTGTGTGAATAGTTTAGTTTGGGGAGTTCTGTGTTGAAAAACGTAGTACCATAAAAAAAAAATGCGTGTGCTCATATCAGAAGGCTAGTGTTAACACTGCCCACCAGCTTCTTGGGCCGCCTGCTGGTGGTGCGGTTCAGAAGTGCCGTGTGGATGGGTGGGCGAGGTCTGCAGCTCAGGGGATGATGGCAGGACGGGCTCCCGGGCAGCCTCCATCTCTTCTGCCCCGTCGTGATGCTGTCTCATCCCAAGGCTCCGAAAGTCAGCCTCGGTGACGCAGCAGGGAAGAGAGAGCAAAGGGCTTCCGCTGCCAGAGTCTGTCCTGAGCCCCTGGGCAGAGGGCAGTGGGGCCACCAGGAGACAGGACCCCAGAGCTTCTGAGAGCACATCAGACCATCAAGGTCCAGAAAGGTCTTCAGAATCAAGACGCCCGGTGATGCGGGGATGCGGGTACCTTTCTTCCGTGTCCACATGTTCTCAGTGATTTTTTTTTTTATTTCATGGAGACATTTTTAATGCCTCCACGTCTTCCCAAATATTATATTTACTATTTGTGTGACTGTGACCTCATTTAGAGGGAAAGAAAGAGAACTTGGTGCTCTATGTTCTTGATTTCCTGAACCATGACCTCCGTATTATTTTTTTTCTCTGAAAAAAATTAAAATAGATTTAAGCATTTAAATTTTGTCTTACTGGGAGGAGGGTACAGCTCAAGTGGTAGAGCACATGCTTGGCATGCATGAGGTCCTGGGTTCAATTAAAATAAGTAAACCTAACGACTTCCCCCGTGCCAAAAAATGGAAAAATAATTTTAGAAAATGTTGTTAATTTAAAAATAAATAATGGAATATTATTTAAAAATTTTTTTGTTCTACCACGTTTGCGTACTAAAAGGCCAGAGAAGTAAAGCCGTGTGCCCTTTCTAAGTGAGTTCTCAAAGGTGTGTAGCCCTGCGTTTGTGCTCTGCCCTCGTCTGTAGCTCTGGGTGAACATTGTCAACGGGGACATTCACGACGCCACCCGCTCAGACTTGTACGAGTACATCGTGGACTTCCTCACCTACAGCCTCGACCCGGAGCTGGTGTGGAAATACGCCGACTGGGCCTTGCAGAAAAGTCAGGAGGTTTGTGCTGCCTAAACGGGTTCTTTTAGGGGCGGCAGTAAGGGGTGGGGAGGCTGGTAAAAATGGGCAAAAAACTAGATTTTAGTGGGAAAACAAGCTACGTTCAGCCCCTCTTTCTGCCTTTTTGTCCCCGCCTTTCACAAGTGCCCCGAGCTGGCTGGATCCCAGCTCTCTGGGAGGCTCCGTGTCTCCGCGCGGGGCGGCAGCCGTGGAGGGGAGCAGACCGCCATCCTGTACGCGGCGTCTGCACTGTTTTCTGTGTCCTCATGCTTTGGGCAGTGACGTTCCCCAAAGCGGACAGCACTCGGAGTGAACAGAAGACGGGGATTCTGAAAAGCACGATGACTAAACTGCTAACCCTTCTTCCAGGTTGGAGTTCAGGTTTTCACCAAGAGACCCTTGGACGCACAGCAGAGCAGCTTTAACCCGGCTGATGTTATCGCTTGCCTTAAGAAATACCCTCAGGCTCTGGTTAAGTACCTGGAGCATCTCGTCGTGGACAGGAGGCTGCAGGTGAGCCCTCAGAGCGTGGGCTGCCATGCGCCACCATGACCTGAACTTGGCCGCGGGGCCGCCGTGACCTTCCACATTCCCAGCGCTCTGTCTGCGCTGGGGCTTGTGGGTGGTCCGAGCAGGAGCTGGTGAAGGAGACCCCAGGCCCACGTAATGACTTTTTCCATCTCTTGTCCCCTCAGCACACGTTCTTCTCTTTTCCTTCCTCATGATTATTCTTAAAGGAAATGAGAAAACGGTCCCTTTTGGGAGAATACCTAAGTTCCTTACTGCTCAAAATGACAAGTGACTCTTTCTGTTTTCCCGTGGATTGTAAATTAAGCTTCTCTGTGAGGTGGTTTCTAGAGCCATTGCTCCAGCCCATGCATTCTGTCATCATCCTGAGGTCCCCCCCAACACGTCACACGTGTGGTCTGGCTGGGGAGATCTCCAGGCTACCCCGTTGCAAATGCTGAGTGTCCGCTTGGTCCCCGTGTCCTGCAGAAGGAGGAGTACCACACGCACTTAGCTGTCCTCTACCTGGACGAGGTGCTGCAGCAGAAGCCCGGCGCCACTGGCCAGGGCGCAGAGGTGACCGAGACGCAGGCGAAGCTGCGACGCCTGCTCCAGAAATCCGACCTGTACCGCGTCCACATTCTGCTAGGTGAGCGGTGTCTCCACAGCTCTGTCTGGATAAATGTCACCAGGGGCGGGAAGCGGGGCGGAGGCCTTGATTTGGGGGGTGGGGAGGATGTTCCCTGAGCCTCTGCAGCATGAAGTCAGCCTCCTGGCGGGCGGGCAGGGCTCCTCATCCGTCCTTCACCCTCTGGAAAAGGTCACGGGCCCTTCAGCTGACAACACAGAGGCCGCCCTGGGACATCTGAGTGTCTGCTGGGCAGACCTTTGTCTGAACTTCCCTATTCGACTTCGAAGCACTCGGGTCAGTTCCTCCAGCTCTGATCACAGCTCTGCCCTCGCTTGGCCGCTCCAGACTCAGGAAAGCAGGCAGAGACCCGGAGCGGGGTCTGCTTTTCATGTCCCCCCAGGACAGAGACCACAGTTTCTATGTCATGTGAGGACTGCTGAGCGGCACCCACTGGGGTCCATGTGTCTCTTGCTCCCTTGAACCCCATAGACTTTCCTGGGGGGTCCTTGCTGGGCTAATAACGTATTTCTCCTTAGGAGCGTTGAACATTGCTTTCTGACCATTAGCTCCAGTCCATTCTCACTGGTCACAGTAGTTACATCCTGTAAAGTCTCCACAAACTGCATCCGGGACCCAGACCCATCACACCCAGAGAAATGCAGGGTCGGGTTCCTGAGATCCTCTGGTCACCACGTTTCTGTTGACTGATCATAACGTAACCTTGTGGATGTGTTTCTGTTTAAAGACGCCTCATTTAATGTACATTGTTGACTTGCTGACCCCAGGCTCACGGCCAGCAGCACAGGACTCAGGCCTGAATGACACTTGTGTGACACGTGTACTTTCTCTAAAAGGCACATCACAGCCCTTCCTGTGCTTAGGAACACGGGATGGCGTGGCGGCACCACACTTGGGGCCATCCCAAGTGGTGAAATCACCGCCGAAAAGCACAAATGCAGAAACGGGGCACCAGGGGTCCCACGGAAAGTACACTTGTTTATAGGATGAGCCCCGCCAGGAACACATGGCAGGCAGCTCACATTTCTCGCCACCGAGCGCGTGTCCACAGGGACCACAGAAGCACCTAGAGTATGACTTCCAGGTTACAAATGAGTTTTGGCGAATCTGCAGACAGCAACCCTGAATGCTGAGGGTGGACTGACCGCCAGGCACAGGTCACAGGGCTCAGCTGACATCCTGACACTTCCTTTTGCAACAAGCCTGTGACCAAAGTCCTGTGATTTGTCACCATTTTCACAGGAAGGTGCATTGACGCCTGGGGAGTTGCATCCTGCCCCCGCCCCACAGCTCACAGGCTGTAAGGGGCAGGCTTGGCAGTGTGCCCAGACAGACACCCCCAGGCCACCTGACGGACAAGGGCCCAGGGTCAGCCGTGAAATTGGAAATTGTAATCTGGACTAGAGGGGTTCAGCACACCTTGGGGGTGAGGTGCTGCTGTCTGAGTTTAATGAGTAGAGGGCTTTCTGCTTTCGTCAGAAGCTACCTTCCTGGGAAGACAGCAGTAAGGGTGGGCCAGATGGGGGCCTGGAGCCGTGATGCTCAGTGACCCACCGCAGCTTCTGAGGTCGTGGTCATTGGTTTTACTCATTCTCCAAACTCCGTGTTGTGCACTCTGAGTTCTGGCCGTGCCTGTGAGTGTTACTCACACCTAGAGGCGAAGCATGAAAATACAACGAAGCCTCTTAATCGTCTGGGAGGCAGTTTTGGGGTGTTCGGGTGCCTGAGTCTGGGGGAGTCTGGGTACCCAGGAGGCAGAGCTTGGGGGAGTCTGGGTAGCCAGTCTTGCTCTGCTCACACTTAAGCTAAGGGCCCCTGGCAGGACTGGCACCGGGTGGCCGGGGCCTGCCATTTCTAACTGGCGACTCCCCCGGCAGACAGGATCCGGGGTGCCGGGCTCCCCATGGAGCGGGCCATCCTGCACGGGAGGCTGGAGCAGCACGAGGAGGCGCTGCACATCCTCGTGCACGAGCTGGGGGACTTCGCGGCGGCCGAGGACTACTGCCTGTGGCGCTCCGAGGACAGGGACCCACCCTACCGCCGGCGGCTCTTCCACCTGCTGCTAGGCCTCTGCCTGCGGCCCGGCCCCTCCGCGCACGAGCTGGCCGTGGCCGCCGTGGACCTGCTGAACCGCCACGCCACCGAGTTCGATGCCGCCCAGGTTCTGCAGCTGCTGCCCGGCACCTGGTCGGTGCAGCTGCTCCGCCCATTCCTGATGGGGGCGGTGAGGGACAGCGTGCACGCCCGGAGGAGCGCGCAGGTGGCCGTGGGGCTGGCCAGGTCTGAAAACTTGATCTACAAATACGATAAGGTGAGAGCCTGGCCCTCCCAGGAGAGACGTTTTGTTTGAGGTTGACTTTTCTCGGGAAAAGATGCTCTGTCTGTTTTTTTCTCTGTTAAGTTCAGCACATCACTTACGCGGTTCTGCTCATACGGAAGCAGGTCCAGAGCAGGGGCGGGAGCTGGGCGGCAGGTGTGACGTTGGAGCTGCCTCCCTCCCCTTTCAGACCCTGACGGTCTAGAGCGCGTGTGGGAAGGGCTGACCCTCACGAGGACGTGCCGGGTGCCAGGCGTTCCTGTGCATCATGACGCCACCGCGTCAGCACAGCAGTTTCCTGCAGAATCCGCTGCCATTGTCTCCTCTCCCAGAAGAGGAAGCATTGGCACCGGAAGGTCACACAGAACGTGGAAGCACCCAGGTGTGAATTGCGGGCCAATTCAGAAACCATGGAGGGGAGGGGATAGCTCAGGAGTAGAGCGTGTGCTTAGCACGCACGAGGTCCTGGGTTCAGTCCCCAGTACCTCCATTAAAATTAATAATAATAAAAAGAGATAAATAAAAGTAAACCTAATTGCCCCCCCCAAATAAAGAACTCCACATTCTTGGCCCCCGTCCCTGTAACAAATCCCGCAGGTCAGCAGGCTCAGACCACGCACGTCCAGTTCTCAGGGGCTGGGGGCTGGGAGCCAAAGGTCGAGGTGCTGGCTGAGTTCCCTACTCCTGGCCTGCAGTCGGCCCCCTTCTCACTGTGCTGGCACGGCCGGGAGTGCGCGCCAGCCTCCTCTGTGAGGGCCGTGATGCCATCACGGGGCCCTGCCTCATGACCTCCCCCAGCCCCACCTCTGGGTACCACCACTTGGGGCAGAGGGTTAGGGCTTCCACATAGGAATTTGGGGGAGATACAGGCACTCAGTCTGTGACAGCACCAGGCTCATCGGAGGCTTCTCTCTGGTGAGGCCCGAGCTCCCCGAGGCCAGCAGACTGTCCTTCCGGAGCAGGAATCCGACGTGTTCCTCCCGCTCAGCCGCCTTCCTTGACTCTGCCGTGGAGGAGTCCAGAGCCCTGGAAGAGCCAGCCTCCCTCCTCGGGCCGCCCCTGCCCCCATCACTGCTCCCAGGATGTGTGGAACCTCCCAGGGACATGCCATTTCACACGTACGGCCTTGTACCCACCTCTCCCTCTGCCAGAGACATTCCTACCGCCTCCTCTGTGCCTGGGGGATGCCTGTGCGAAACCCAGCCTGAGTCTCTTTGCCCTGTGAAACCTTCCCGTCCCTCTGAGCAGGCCGGCACCTCACTCACCCACCCACGTGCCGTGCGCACACAGCCGTGGTTGTCACCCTTCACCGTCAGGCTTTGGGATCTTGGAGGGCAGGAATTTCCTGTTTGTCTCAGTGTTCCTGAGCCAAGCCTGGCGTCTTAAGGGCATCGAATAAATGTTTGTTGAATGACTGAAGAAACTAATTAGGTGAATTGACCACACTTGGACCCTGCCCTGCCGATAGGCTGAGCTGCTGCGCTGACCAGGTCAATTGTGCAGAGAGGCGTTTAACTTGCAGAATTTCAGTCCCGTTTATCAGACAAGGAGGAATGGAGTTTGTTAGTTTCATCATTTACCTTTAAAGAAAGGAGATTCTGTTTCCTGGGGCGTCAGGAGTGGGCACCAATCGACCCCATGACTTTGACGAAGTCTCTTCTTGGTGCCTTACTTTTCTGGTTTGCAAACGAGGGGAGCAGGGAATGAGATGACCTGAGACGTCTGGTCAGCTCCAACTGGCGTGACTTTGTAACAGGTTGTGCCTGACAGGTCGTGCCTGACAGCATCAGGGCTCCGTGAACGTCTGAGAGGGTCTCGGTGAGAAGCGCCGTGGCCAGGCCG